CTGAAATGGATGTGGGGTCTAATTAGCGTAACAATTCATGGCCATAATGGAGCTTCCACACCTCTGGACCTGACCTGGCTGGATGGAGGAGTTGTAAATAGGAGATAGATGGTGTCTGAGGCCTCCATTTCTGTTTAGAGAAGGATCCTGTTTCTTAACAAAAACAGCTTCTTTCTCTCCCCTCTCAAACCAATTCTTTTCTCTGGCTAAAATTTGTACCTCACTGTCCTCAAATGAGCGGCCTGAGGCTTTTAAGTGGAGATGTACAGCAGACTGAGGTCCACTGCTGCTCTCTCGTCTATGTTGGTACATCCTCTTGTGAAGTAGCTGTTTAGTTTCTCCAAAGTAGCAGAGTAGTCAGAGTAGTTAAAGTAGTCTTCACTGCACTGAATGGAGTAGACTACATTACTTTTGTTTGTTGTTTTTTTGGGTGGACCAGTTTAGAGTGTTCGTAGGTTTGAAATAGACCGGGATCTCATGTTGTCTGAAAATCCTCTGTAGTTTTTCAGAAACACCAGCCATGTAAGGATTAGTTACATTCTTTCTCCTGGGTTCTGATTCTCTGTTGTCCTGTTTTTTAGTTCTCTTGGTTTTGTTGAAGGCCCATTTTGGAGGGCTTTCAAGGAGAGAGAAGTGTTCCTCTTACTGTGTCCCTCTGCACCTTGCACGTACAGAGCTGCAGCAGTGGAGGAGCTGGAGCAACAGAACAGAGGAGCAGGTCCAGGGTTCGTCTAATCAGTTCAATTATAAAAATGTAACAAACATATTTTAGTATTGCGTATGGTAAAAGTGGGGATTTAGACAGGTGTTTAAATAAATAGGCCTTATATATTTGGTGATTTTTATAACAAGATCAGATCAGTAAATTATTTCAAAATCTCGTCTCGTTCTCGTGGATCGTCTCATATCTCGTCTCGTCTCATGCAAATTCTGTCTCGTCCCACCCCTTGTCAGTTGGTTTCTTTGTAGGAGAAACTCTGTAGATCTTGTAGCTCTTTTGGAGAGTCTTTGTGGAGGAGAAGTTTCAGATTGTCTCTCCTTGCAGAACAATCTTCTATCAGTCTTCATTTAAGTGACAGCTCCAGGGTTCAGAGAGCTGAAGGGAAGCAGGGGAGGGTCGAGCATCCTTGAGAGTCACAGAAGGCATCTAACCCAAACTACTTGCTTTGGAGAAAGTTTGTTTCTTAAAGCTCTGATACCGTGGCAACAGTGAAGCGGGTGCTTCTCAGTTTTATAGGTCAAAATAGGGACACATCATCTGTTTTGATGAGGGGACAACAGTATTGACACAGTTAAAGGCTCATGTCAGTTATAATGTGGCATAAAATGTGGTTAGAGATGCACCTATCCAGTTTTTTTCAGTTCCAGTGCTGATTTGATTAAACCAGTGATACTCACTATTTTTTTTTTCACAAGAGCCACATTGGAAGAGCAAAATCAAGAGGAGAGACACTTATACCCGACACGCCAACATACAAGTGACCTTTGCAAATGTGCGTTTCTACAGATAAATTCATATTCATGTCATTAACACTTTTATATTAAAATGATCATGATTATTACTATTACTAATCTGCAGTGTTGGGAAGGTGACTTTTAAAATGTATTCCCCTACAGATTACAGATTACACACCCCAAAATGTACTTTGTAACATAATCCATTAAATTACTTAAAGTGAGTAACGTAATCTGAATATTCTGGATTACTTGATTTGCTGTAGAGAAGCAAAGACAAGGATATTTTCGCATAAGAAGTTTTGTCTGCTTAAAGACAATAAAAAGCCCAGACTTTCCTTAACTGTATTAAAAAATATTATTGATAGAAGAAGAGGAGACACGGTCTGCGCGGCATGGTTTAGTCCTGTTAAATCCTGTTTTAGACCTGGTTTAGTCCTGTTAAATCCTGTTTTAGACTTGGTTTAGACCTGGTTTAGTCCTATTTTAGACCTGGTTTAGACCTGGTTTAGTCCTGGTTTAGTCCTGGTTTAGACCTAGTTTAGACCTGGTTTAGACCTGTTAAATCCTGTTTTAGACCTGGTTTTAGTCCTGGTTTTAGTCCTGGTTTAGTCCTGGTTTAGTCCTGGTTTAGACCTAGTTTAGACCTGGTTTATACCTGGTTTAGACCTGGTTTAGTCCTAGTTTAGACCTGGTTTAGACCTGGTTTAGTCCTGGTTTAGTCCTGGTTTAGACCTAGTTTAGACCTGGTTTAGTCCTGTTAAATCCTGTTTTAGACCTGGTTTAGTCCTAGTTTAGGCCTGGTTTAGACTTGGTTTAAACCTGGTTTAGTCCTAGTTTAGATGTGGTTTAGACCTGGTTTAGTCCTGGTTTAGACCTAGTTTAGACCTGGTTTAAACCTGTTAAATCCTGTTTTAGACCTGGTTTAGACCTGGTTTTAGTCCTAGTTTAAACGTGGTTTAGACCTGGTTTAGTCCTGTTAAATCCTGTTTTAGACATGGTTTAGACCTGGTTTAGTCCTGTTAAATCCTGTTTTAGACATGGTTTAGACCTGGTTTAGTCCTGGTTTAGTCCTGGTTTAGACCTAGTTTAGACCTGGTTTAGACCTAGTTTAGACCTGGTTTAGACCTAGTTTAGACCTGGTTTAGTCCTGGTTTAGTCCTGGTTTAGACCTAGTTTAGACCTGGTTTAGACCTAGTTTACACCTAGTTTAGACCTGGTTTAGACCTGGTTTAGTCCTGGTTTAGTCCTGGTTTAGACCTAGTTTAGACCTGGTTTAGACCTGTTAAATCCTGTTTTAGACATGGTTTAGACCTGGATTTAGAACTGGTTTAGACCTAGTTTACACCTGGTTTTAGTCCTGGTTTAGACCTAGTTTAGACCTAGTTTAGACCTGGTTTAGACCTGGTTTAGTGTCTGGCAATGAATGAAATTACAGAATAAAAAGGGGGGATATAGCCCAAAATGTAAAAACAGTTTCATTCATTCATTCATTTCAACAAAGTAACTGTAATCCAATTACCACTCACTCACTGAAACAGTAACTGAATACAGTTCCTCATAATTTGTACTCTGATTACGTAACGCCGATACATGTAATCTGTTACTCCCCAACACTGCTAATCTGCATGCAGAAGATTTTAATGAAGAATCTGTTGGGTTTGATGTGTGCAGTGGATTGTGGGATATCTCATAGCTCCATAGCGCTGGTTAAACCTCCCGAGCTTCGTGGTTTGTATTTTTCCTGGTTTATTCATATAAATTAAGTTAATTTTTGCACTTGCGCATTTGTAAGATTACGTCAAGAAAACAGGATACTCCATTTGATCATGTACACAGGGATATGAGTGTCTGGGAATTAAAAAAAAAAACTGGGATATGTCTAATAACCGGGATAGTGATGTGCATGTATACACACTCACTGATTACAAAACAGACACATTGTAAAACCCGACGGCAGTAATTGTGATTTGATACAATTTGGATTGATTGCGCTTTCATACTGACCTCTAAACCACTCACGAAACAAACATGGAGCTCAAAATGAAGGGTTATTCAGAGTGTGACAAAGTGTTTCATGTTTGTGATTGTAACGAGGTTGAGTCGGTTGTTTTTGGAGCTGTTTTGCCGTGTCATGTGGCCCAGTCAGATGTGTGAGACGTGAGAGTCTTGAGTTTAGAGGTGTAACTTATAGGTCTTCCTATGCAAACAGTGTCAAAAGCAGAAGCTCATAACGCTTTATCTGACCTCTTTGACCTCACTCATGATTCTTAACGCCGATAGAAAGCAATTTACCAAAAAAGAAGACAGAATTTGTTGCTGTTTTCAGAGTACGTGACAAGAATTTGTAACCAGCCACTTCTATCAACCGCACCACTCTCACTTCCTTCCTCTGCCCTCGCCTCCTCCGCCCCTTGTATCACCTCTGTCCTTTCTTTCTCTTCTCTACCTCTCTCCTCCTCTCCTCTCTCTTTCTTCTTTCTCCTCCTTTCTGTATTCACTTTCTGATCTTTCTGTCCCCTCTCTTTTTTTTTTTCTGGCTCTTTCTTTGTCTCTCCTTCTCCCTTTGGCTCTCTTTTCTCCCTCCTGCTTTATCTTTCCTTTTTTCCTCTCTCTTCTTCCTCCCCCTCTCTATATTCACTTTCTTCTCTTTCTGTCCCCATCTTTTTTCTTTCTTTCTATCTCCCTCTCTCTTTGTCGCTCCTCTTTCTTTCTGTCTCTCTTTCCTTTCCCTCCCTAACCTCTTCTCTCTCCCTCTCCTGCTTTTTTCTTTCCTTCTCTCCTCTTTCTTCTTCCTCCCCCTCTCTATGTTCACTTCCTTCTTTCTTTGCCCCCCCTCTTATTTTCTCTCATTACCCTCCTCCCTAATCTCCTCTCTCTCCCTCTCCTGCTTTTTCTTTCCTTCACTCTTCTCTCTCTTCTTCCTCTCCCTTTCTATATTTACTTTCTTCTCGTTCTGCCTCGCTATTTCTTTCTTTCTTTCTCTCTCTCTCTCCCTCCCTACCTGACCCTCCTTTCTTCTCTTTTTTCCCCCCTCTTTCTTTCTGTCTCTCTCTTTGTCTCTCATCTCTCTCTCTCTTTCCCTCCTTCCCCCTCCCTAACCTCCTCTCTCTCCCTCTCCTGCTTTTTCTCTCCTTCTCTCCTCTCCACCCGCCCCCTCTCTCCTCTCTCCCTCTCTCTTTTCTTCTCTCCTTCCCCCTTCTCTCTTTCTTTCTGTCTCTCGTTGTCTCTCCTCTCTCTCATTTTCTCTCTCTTTCTCTCTCTTTTTCTGTCCTCTCCTCCCTCCCTAACCTCTCGTCTCTCTTTCTTTCTGTCTCTCTCTTTGTCTCTCTCCTTCTCTCTCTCTCATCTCTCTTTTTCTCTTTCTTTCTCTGTATCATTTTATCTCTCTCCTCCCTAACCTTCTCTCCTCTCTCTTCTTCCACCCCCTCTCTTTATTTACTTTCTTGTCTTTCTGCTCTCTCTTTGTCTCTTCTCCTCTTAAACTCCTCCTCCACCCTCTTAACCCGCTCTCTCTCTGTCTCGTCTCTTTTCTTTCCTGACAGAGCCGGAGTGGGCGTCTCTCCCGGTGGGCGTGCTCGTGTGTCAGGCGTGTTCTCTGCTGCACCGGAGCATCCCTCACATCACCCGGGTCAAGTCTGTGCAGGACACGTGGGAGCCCAGCGAAGTGGAGGTAAAGGCACGGACACTCACCCGACATGGCCGCCAATCATCACCGAGACCACACTTCTACAGTCACAGTACAAATATTCAGTCAAGTCAATCAGAAAGGTTCAGGCTAAAACTGAGATCTGAAATGTACGAAATATTTATTATCAGTGTTGGGCAAGTTACTTCAAAACTGTAATGTGTAAGTAAGTAATTAGTTACATTACAATATTACTGTATTTAAAATGTGAGGTATTACACGACTATTGCAGTACTTTAAGTTACTCTCACCAAAATAACTGTGCCAAGATGCTGAACTTTTGTGCCGTAAAATGGACTGAGCCAGGATTGAACCAGAGCTGAACCAGGACTAAACCAGGTCTAAACCAGGAAAAAAACAGGTCTAAACCAGGTCTAAACTGGGTCTGAACCAGGACTAAACCAGGTCTAAAACAGGACTAAACAAGGACTAAACCAGAGTTGACCTAGCACTGAACCAAGACTAAACCAGAGCTGAACCAGGACTGAAACCAGGACTAAACCAGGTCTAAACCAGGACTAAACCAGAACTGAACCAGGACTGAACCAGGACTAAACCAGGACTAAACCAGGTCTAAACCAGGACTAAACCAGAGCTGAACCAGAGCTGAACCAGGATTAAACCAGGTCTAAACCAGGACTAAACCAAAACTGAACCAGCGCTGACCCCAGACTAAATCAGGACTAAACCAGAACTGAACCAGAACTGAACCGGAACTGAACCAGGAATAAACCAGGTCTAAACCAGGACTAAACCAGAATTAAACCAGGTCTAAACCTGGACTAAACCAGGACTACACCAGTGCTGAACTAGGACTGAACAAGACAAAACCAGGACTAAACCAAAACTGAACCAGGACTAAACCAGAACTGACCCAGGTCTAAACCAGGTCTAAAAAGTGTGGAGCTCTGCACCAGTCCTTTCACTCGCGGTTACCTGACGGTCTACGCGGGCACGTGTCTGGTGTTTCACCGCTGCTGCTATCACGGCGATTTTAGCAAATTTGTATGAAGAAAAACCCACCACTTCAGTCCAGGTTAAAAAAGCATTTTAATGCGTGTTACTGACATTTGTACCGAGTAAAATATGACAATTTTCCCTGTAATGCATTGCAATTACAACAAAAATGCATTACAGTAATTTGTTACTGTTAAAACACATTACTCTCAACACTGTTTATTATAGCCTAATAATGTCAAAATCTCATCTTCAATCTCATGTCTCGTGTTGTGTAAATTGTATCTCGTCCCACCCCCACAAAACAAAACATGTCACTCAAGTAATGAAAGTGACACTCGCTCATTTAGTCACTTAAGTGTCTTGAAGGTGGAAAAGCGCTGTGTAAAAATGTGAGCGTGAGCAAACCCTGTGTGTGTTTTAGAGTTCACACTGGTGTCACATCATGTCATTGTGAATAGAAAAATGTTTTATTAAAATGTGAACATTATCCATTAGGGGTGTAACGGTACAAAAATCACGGTTCGGTACGTACCTCGGTTTTGAGGTCACGTTTCGGTTCATTTTCGGTGCAGTATGGGAACAAAATGCAATGCAATTTGTTTTAAAATTATACAAATGGGAAAATAAAATAAATGCAAAGTGCTGCTTGGTAATACTAATAAGTAAAATAAAATATTCTCAAAAAAGCAACAAATGTATGAAATATGAGAAAAAATAAATTCCTTGTAAACTGTAAACAAAACTTTTCAAAAAGTAAACCACAGCACTAACAGTTCTAGCATGAAGTTTTACTCAGTCTTCATATTTTTGACCAGAAAAACCAACTTGTCCACATTATCTGCAGTAAGTGCAGTTCTGCTGCAGTTAGAATGTCCCCAGCGGCTGAAAATACACTTTTGAGACAGAGGTTGGGGGTATGTGGGAGGGAAATTCTGTGCCAACAAAAGGTGAAAGTGAGGACTGGGGCATGACAATCATAGTTTTGCGAGGATGCAGGTGGTTTGAAGAGATGTAGTCAAGGCGGGGTGCAATTGTTGTCAAGGCAGCCGCCCTAACTATAAAGCCCTGCAGGAAACACTGATACTCCAATCACAGAGGAGTTCCCTCGTGAATATTAAAGAGCTGAGCCTCCCTGTAGCTGCACACATAGTGGAGGAATGTAAACACACACAAACTGCACACACTCACTCATGCACAGCCCTGCACTGAACCCAACATCTCGTAATGAAACGGTTTGGCACAGATACATGCACCATTTGTTTTTAAAGGGGGGTTTAACTGTGGGACGACTTGCCCCGCTGAGATTATGACCCCCCAAGTGCACTTCTGGGCTGTGGCTAAAGTTACCAAGCCAGGCTGGCACCACCTAGTGCCTCCGCTCAATTTCATTTCTCTCCAGCAACTAGGTCAGGAATCAAAATACACTGGACGGTTTGCAAGAACCCCTGAAGTGCGAGTTTGAGCGTCAGCCAATCAGTGACGAGTGTTGTCAATGATTCCCGAGATCAAGGATTTAAAGCCAGAACAAAGAGAATGTTTGGTGAATTCTATCAAGAGGAAAGACGTTATTGTCCTTCTTCCTACAGGATTTGGGAAAAGTTTAATAAACCAGTTAGCCCCGTTAGCAGCGCATTACACATGTCATGACCAAATAGTGATTGGTTAATAATAAAAAGGACCTGCCTACCGTCGAATGAACGAATTCTGACACTGCGAGGTCAGACAGTTTCAGTGAAGTGAAACCAGCTGATGAATCAGGCAAAAAATTACCTTCATCTGATCGGTTTCAATGATCATTACAAGAAAGTTATTCGAAAATTATTAAACATTGAAATATGTATTTACTACATGATTTCAATATTTTATAACAAAATATTGCATGTTGAAAAAAGATATCTCAGGCAAACAAAGATCAAGTTGTAGTTCAATTTCAGGACAAAAGTGAATACCCAAAAAACACACAAATCCGCTATTTCACTTTTGTAATGGAACTTTTTGGTCTTGAAAAAATGCAGTGTGACAACTTACTAGAGGTGAGATCGGGCCTAAAAAATCCAGCCCGACCCGACCCGGCCCGCGGGTATTAAAACCCGACCCGGCCCGAGCCCGACCAATTAACTTGATTTGCAGGCCCGAGCCCGAAGCAAACCCGAAATGTCATATTTTATTTGTGAGGACTCGGGAGGAGGAGCAGTGCTCAGCGTCGAGGTGCCAGTCTTTTTGCTCGGATGAAAGCAAAGCGCCACATTGACGACATTCAGCGAAGCCAACTCAAGTTTCTGTAGCATTTTCAACAATCAATTTGAAGCTTTTCCACACCTCACTCTTACCGGTGCGTGTTTGTCGTTTCAGTTCTCCTGCCTTTAGTTTAACTTCTTGCTCCTCCATATTGGGGACACCAGGTCAAAATAGATGCAGACTTGCGGAGGGGAAGATTATTAAATTAAGAGGGGGCGTTCACGTGCGCAGAGCTCTGGCTCTGCGGATCCTGTTTAGTAGTTAAATAGCAATTACATTACATTACTTCTCTGTTTTATCCATATTGTTTATTTTATTACAAGTATTCCTTAGTTTAGTATCCATACATTTTATAAACATATATTTATTTGAAGCCCGAGCCCGACCCGACCCGAAGTAATGATTGACATTTTAGACCCGACCCGACCTCGGGCTTGGGCTCGGTCTTAAGATCTTACCTCTACAACTTACCCAGTGTGACAACATACCCTGGTCTCCTCTACTCATCGGCTACAGTCTACGGTCATGATATATAGGCTTATAAACAATGAGCATGTGGTAACCAGTTTTGGGAAGTACCGCATTTTCCGCACTGTAGGGCGCGCTCATAAGCCTCCAACCCCATTAAAAAAAATGACCCACAATCCAGAGCGCCCTATACACGAATCCACTCGGGTGTCCCAGCACGACTTCAGTAAACTACAAAGTCGCAGTGCATGCAAACATGCATGGAACAGACAGCAACCACGCAGCGAAAAACACCCACAGCCACAGTTATCACTCCACACGGACGAGGAATGTAAAGGAGGGACTAACCGAAAAAGCGAGTCCAATGTGCCACTTCTAGACACAACTGAACAACTGAGTCACTGCGAATATGCCAACAATCCAGCGGTCCCAGACAGCACCCTCCCTACGCGTAACAATTGAACAAAGCCCAGAGTCACCGTGAACGCGCCAAACAAAGTCCCACTGAGCCATCGAACTGTTGTGTTTCATTTAAAGTCCGATATGGTTTTGTGAAAAAAGTTCCAAAATAGACCATTCTATGACAGTGTGTCTTATAATCCAGAGCGCCTAATAGTGTGGAAAATACGGTAACTAAATATTGTAAATGATGACAGTATATTGATGTTGGTCAAGTCAAACCCATTTTGGTTTTAATGTGTGACACAATCTCCACCCATCACCATGTTCTCTAACACTGCATCCACATTCACTTAGTAACAGCAGGTGAACTCTTTGTGTTCCATTATCATAAATATACATTATCGGGGCCTAAAGGGCATGATTATGCTGAGAAAATCTGACACGCTACATCCACTGTGTGACTATTTTAAAATCTATGCTTTTTATCACGCTGTTTCCATGGTAACGACCTTATTAGGGGTTATCTCTCGCCGGGATGTGGTAAAGTAATGCATGTGGATGATAAGTGGCGCCTACAGTCAAAGAGGGTTTACAAAGAGTCAGCACATTTCAAAATGCATGTTGTGGTGTCCTAGATTGTGGATATTGGTCCAGCTATTCTATCTGTCAAAATCAAATAAAATGTAAAAAAAAAAAAGAAAATCAAATATGTTGACCAATTCTGGATTTAGATTTGGCCAAGAAAAATACACAAAATCAATACAATTTTTGGCATCACCTTCAGCGATGTAAAACCAGCCAATGGACAATTTTTTAATCCAGTTATTCCTGTGTAAAGTAAAAGGTATTTTTAAGTAGGGATGTAACAATAACTGAAATATCGTGATATCGTATCGTCCAAAGTCTCACAATAATATCATGGGCCATCACATTGTATCAAATTACAAGTTTCTTTGCTTAAACTTATTGTTTTGGTGCAGCAACAGCTAAAAAAACAGAGAACTACATATACCATGATCCTTTGCTCTGTTTCAGTCCAGTCTGCATGCTGAATTAACTGTTATGAAGCACTTCTAAATCTTAATTATTTGGATTATGACGAAAGAAAAGTAGCATATTCACAATTTTGTTATCCTCCACAAAATTGTATTGTGATGTGTGAGCGACTTTGTCCAAATAATAGCCCTTGTGGATCAATAAAGTTTGTCTAAAATAAGTCTTAAATATCGCAATAAATATTGTACAGTGAGATGCACACTGTGAAAATATTGAAAATATCGAGAGATTTGGTGATCTTTACATCCCTAGTTTCAAGTGGATTTTATAAAGAATACAATAAATGCGGATTTAGTTTAATCTTGTAGAAGTCTTGAATTCAGGATAGCTAAAAATCCTGACTATTTTTACGAGGTTAGGTTACTTACTAAAAATTGGCAGTTGTGCTTGTGTTATGACATTTCTGTTCTTAAAGTTGATCTATTATGCAACATCAATATTGTTTCCCCTCAACATCTACTCACCTGAAGTTGTATTTGGAGTGATCATGCATGTTTGAGTCATCTTTAATCGCTTATTTTCATTTTGCCAATCAGTCCCAGTTTTCACAACCACCGGCCATCAAACTATAATAAAATCTGGAAGTGAAATAAAATCCTTCAGTCGTCCAGGTAGTATCCATGGCAAAAAAAAAAGAAATTCAATTTCTCAACTGGACAAAATTTATTTGGTCAAATATGTTTCGCAGCTCATCAGCTCATTATTCATCATTCATCATTCATCATTCAGTTCATCTCCAGAACTGAAGAAACAGCTTGGATGAGCTGCGAAATGTATTCAACCAAATAAACTTTTGTTCAGTTGACAAATTGAATTTCTCCTTTTGCCACAAAATCGGGAAGGTGAATCCACGATGGCGTCATATTGTTTTCAATGGCCTGTGCTCATTGGCCCAAGGGCCCAAAAATAATTTTCTCCTCCGCACTACTTCCTCAGTACAGGCAAGCTCCTCCCACCCGTGACGTCTGTAACATCTGAACCAATCAGAGTGAGAACTGCTAGAGCGGAGCTAGCGTGGGCTCAGAGCGGGGCTAGGCTAAGTCTTGCAAAGATCACTTTTAGGAGCTTTGAGGATTTAAACATTTTTAAAAGTTTATGTTGTGGAATTAAAAAATAATCCTACAAAATCAGACCTTTGTGAATATGCTGGATGGTCATGTCAGCCGAACACGGGCAGTTTGAATTCCTAAAACATGCATTGCGCTCTATTGGAGAGTTCTTTCTAGGCCCAAGCTCAGGGCCCCTCAACACAGGGGGCATGCCTCATCCAGTTTTTATTATAGATCATACCACCAGCATACGCCCACTGCTCTGTACTTACTTCGTTCTATAATTTCATTTTCTTAATGGGTGATGTATGTGGAATTTGGCTGTAGTCATTTTGGTACAAATGAAAAAAAAATCGAGCTGTATCGATATATATCCAAATAAGCTTGCTAGGAATATGAAATGTAATGAACCTAGTATTGTATAGAAACTCAAACTAATCAAACTTTTCAAATGAACATGTGAATTCAAGCCATTTTAACCAACATATATTAGAGTTACACAATAGCAGATGGGTTGTCACTCCCCTCCCCTGGGCGTCTCTGTCCTCGCTCTAGACTTGTGAACTCTTGTATTTGTTGACCTTCATGACCTTGACCTTTGACCTCTCTGGTGGCTGAGCAGCATTTCTTCCCGACGATCAATATAAAAACACGGCCAGACAAACCCTTTTAAGAAACAATATGTCTCTATGTTTTCAGCTGATATTCTGGTTGGACAGACTATAAATGGATGTAATAAGACTATTTTGTTCTGGAGTTGCATGAGAGATAAATAACAGCTATTTAACACATTTGAATCACTTTTGTCTCATTTTATTCTTATTTTAAGGAAATAAAAGTGGTTTTCAGGCTTATTATTTAATAGATATTTCTGCCGCTGGACTTCTTTCTCTACTAAAATCTTTAGCTCTGCTGTGCCACATGTCACTGTGTGGTGACGTCATTGGCCATGGCCCGATTCATTGTGACAGTGTGAGTGCGAGATACATATTTGTAGCCTATATTTATTTTCAATTTGAAAGTTTTGCGTAAATTGTCAATAACAATGTGGGTTTTTGTTTTGAGAGAAAATTGCTGAATAAATGCATCGTGTAACTAAAAAATAATCATTTGAACAAGCTCAATCAGAGATATCAACCTGGTCCCCATGAGGCATCAGTGGGGTCAGTTCATCACCACAGAAGCAGCTTATGAGGAGCCCAGCCCATATTACATGATCGTTATATCCACAATGTGATGTGTGTATCTGTATAGGCCCATGAACATTTGTGTGATATTGGTCACACATGAGAATGTCTGTGTTTACTAGTGTGGAACCAAAATGTCTTTTTTCATGAGTTGTCTATATGTAAATTCTGTGCCTGTAGATCAGTGTGTTGTGTGTCACCAGAAAAAGAAGAAATGGAAAATATTTTTGTTCCAATTGGTATTTTAACGACATACACTGAAAGAGGAAGGAACTGTAATAATTAGTGATTATCTGGAAAACTATTAATATTTTACTATATAAATGTACAGAATTATAAATAGATAATATTTTTTTCTGCGATTTTGAGACCACTCCCATTGCTCTAATTCAATCCTTCGCGGAGTTATGCCCAAAAAACACATATTTGACCTTGGTTACCTTGACCTTCAAGTGACCTTGACCGGTTTCAACTTGTAACATCCAGTGTACCCCGGTTATGTGTGTGCCAACTTGTGTGACGACTGGGTGAATATTTTAGGCCGCAGATGGTTCAGAAATGGCCCTATCCTTTATAATGACCTTACAATTGACCCGTGTGACCTCAAATTACCTCGGATCATCACCAAAGTTTTTTTTTTGCGGCATCGGGCACAGGGGCTTGACCCACGAATCAAATTCGGTGACAATTGTTCCATAAATGGCGGAATTATCGCGGGTGGACAGACACACACAGACACACAGGGTGAATACAAAACCTGATCAACTCTTCGGGGACCAGGTAATAATTGTGATTTCACTATTGACCAAAATAATTGTGATAATGATTTTTTCTATAATCGAGCAGCCCTAATAAACGACCACATCATTTTTGAAACTGCAATGCATAGGAGTGGGTTAATCTTAAGTTTTCTTCTTCTCACAGTATGTATGTAGTTGTATATGATCATTGTTTTCTCTCTTGGAACAAACTCATAATAAAACCATATCTTTGACAGATTTCGCGCACTATTTCAGATTTATTCCTTCCAATTACATTCACCTATAATCTCTAAAAGGCATTTGGGAGCTACTAGTTTCGCCTATAGGATTATGCATGGATGAAAGGCGTCGTGGACTGAATGAGGCCATGTGGACGGGTGGTAGCTCTTTCCAGTATAATCCCACAGGAAACGCGTCCCTTATACTGTAGCTCTGACACTACGGAGCTCTTCATTGACGAGGCTGTGTTGTTTTACAGCTACTGGCGGCGATGGGAAACAATGCAGCCAAGGCCAAGTACGAGCAGAAGGTGCCCCCGTTTTACTACAGACCCACGCACTCCGACTGCAAGTGAGTACTGTTATGAAAACCAGCTGTCATATATGCAGGGGTGGAAGTACAAATCACAAATACTCATGTTACTGTGACTGAATACATTTTTCATGCACTTGTCATTTTTTTGAATAAATTTTGTACTTGTAATTGAGTATAATCCTAACCATGTAATTGTAATTTGCGGTAATTTGCGCTTTTTTGTGGATTAACTCAGCTTTAAACTGTCAAATTCATCAAGTTTTGTATGAAGAACTGATCTAAAATGTGGCTGAAATTGTGTAATCCTCGTATTTTGGGTAGCAGACTTGAATTTCTTGTTTCCTGTTTCTTGGTACCTCGGCATGCTGCCATTATGTTCTTGGGCAAGACACTTCACCCACCCACGCCTCTGTGCAAATGTGTCAAAGGATGATTAGTGGTGGGAAGACCAAATGCGCAGATTGGCAGCCATGTCTGCTCCGATCTCTGTAAGAATGTTTTTTATGTTAATCGCATTTAAACTACAGTTCTTTTAAAGATCCTTTATTAGGCTAAATGAATTTTAAATGTTTTGAGCTTTAAGTCATGTTATAATGCTATTACCTCCTCAAAACCGACCAGGAGTTGTGTTTTGTTTCATTCACACATGTTTGAGTAATCCTGGTTTGTTAGTCTATCTACGTCCCCAAAGCTCAAAATGCTCTGTTCCAACTTGTGATGTCATGAAGCTGTAGTTTTCAGGTTAAAAGGGATAGTTTTGATAGAATTTTGGACATACTAAAAACACTAGAAGTTTTTAGAAGTAAAACCAATCTTGCATTTGAAGGATTTCTGTCTTGGCAGCAGCAGTGAGTTGTACTTCCTGATTGAAAGCTGAGAAAATAGTCCCTCAACATGCGACAATTCATGAGATGGTTAGTTTTATTTCAAACATAATTCTATCAACACAGACATTCACATGGACAGTCTGGCATAATAATAGGTTGTTTTGGGGTGTTTTGTGGAGTGGGTTTTTAGTGGCAGAATAACTATGGCCATTGACATGCACTAGCTTAGGTTAGGTTATGTTGCTTTATTCGTACCCGTAGGTAAATTTGGTTTGCAGTTTTGAGAGGCTGGTTCCGCATTTCACATTTTATTCATCCACCTTATATAGAATAACACGTATAAAAACATAATTAGATGTCATTTATAATAGTGTATGTAGGTTAGTATTAAGATGTCCCTATAGAACGCACCACTGTCAAATGTATTCATCACTCAACTGGCTCTCTCTTACATCCAGAAGACAGCTACACTTTTTGCAATTTGTATTTAAATGTTATTACTCAAAGTTTCCACCCTACTTAAAATAGTTTTTGATTCCATTTAGATCAGCGTATCATTTATGTTACACTGAACAACTATTTTTTAATGTTCCTATAATAAAAGAAGAAATTGGCCGCAGAGCATTTAACTTCAAAGCTCCAAATGAATGGAACAACTTACCATCCTCAATCCGATCAGCTACATCAATCCACTATTTTAAGGAGTCAGTCTTCAGATACTTACAAACATCCTGCTACTGTTTTCGATAAAAATACATTTTTTTCTACATACTTTCTGCTGTACATAGAGTTGCTTTTTTTCCACTATATTACAAATACAGGTGTGGTGATGATAAAATCAGAGAGATGTATGTATATCTTAGGATCCAGTATTGTATAGTGTGAATGTTGTCTTTGTCTGTTTGTCTTTTGTTCTGTTTTGATTAGTTTTTTTCTTTCTTTTCTGTAAATGCTACTTTTGTTAATGTATTAGGACCTCCTGACAAACGAGACACTACATCTCAAGGGGCTTCCCTTATAAATAAAATTAAATAAATAAAAATTTCAAAATAAAGTGTTACAGTGCTCCAGTGCAGAATGGCTTTGTTACATAAACAATTAGTTAAATTCATCTATCACGCTTGACTAAAAACACAATAAATATTATATATATAAAAACACTAGATTTTTCCAAGACAAACATACTAAAATTGACAGATAAATAGATTACAATTTATTTATAAGTATGAGAGCAGCTGGACCAACGCCTAGCACCAGTGACCTCTGCAAATACAAGGACTGGATGGAATATTTAAAAAAGTGTCTCCACACGTCTCCAACACTCTGGCTCACTAGGAAATGAGGTCCTATGTCCAAAATTCCGAACTGTCCCTTTAACAGCTCCTTTTACTTTTAGTTCAGTAGAGATGGTCAATTCCAGAGCTGAAATTATCTAAATGATTTTAGTGAAAGTTTACAGTTTAAAGTTTAAAAACACAGTGAAGCACTTCCTGTGTGGAAGTGTGGAACAAAGTATTTTCTGTTTTTCTGTTTTCTCGGCCTAAATATGGTTTGTGTGTTAAACATATGTGAAAGAAACAAAACACAACAAGGAATTTTAACAACATTATAACTTTAAAAAATTTAAAAAAGCATAATATGGGCCCTTTAAAATACAGTTCCTTTAAAGGTGCATTATGTCACTTTTCTTCATGAAGATGTTATTTGCTTTGTCTGTAATCTTTCACAGTATGGCATTAAACCTTTCTATTTTCATGGAGATGAAACCAGACCAAGTTACAGGTCAGATCTGTGGAGAGGCGACCCCACTCACAGTCAAAATGTTGTTTTCCTGGTATTTCTGAGCTATAAAACCACTTGTAATTTAATAAATGTAAAGGAGAGCTGTTTAATGTCATACTGTGAAACATTCCAGGCAAAAGTGACGTAGTACACCTGTAAGTATATCCAAGTGAACAACAGAAAAACATAGTGATGAAGCGTATGAAAATCGACACTCTTTTTTTCTATCTTTACTTTCGTCTCACTTCGAGGTAACTCTACTTTCAGACTTTGTGTGTGAATATGACTCAGCAACAGTAGACTCAAAACTGAGAAATGCAAATTTTTTTTCACACCTACGCTTGTAAATGTGTTAAACGTTTTCTTCTCATGTGGCATTCTGTGGGCTATATTTACAAGAGGCGAGCATGTCAACATAGAACACTTACAGTATGTTGGGTATGTGATTGTAGCGAGCAACAATGAGGTAAGAGAGATAATTTTAAACGGTTTGCATGTTATTCCTTACATTTTGCATTTTAAACATCCTAATTATTCACCATGAGTTTATTAGCACTTTTTACAGCTTTAATGGTCCGTTCAGGCGTTGACGCTCTGGACGTGTATCCTGGGCATCAGCGTCAGAAGTTGAAAATGCTGAACTTTTGGCATTGGACTCGCCATGTCAACCAATCAGGGACGAATATCCAGTGATGTAGTGAAGTTATTATGCGGAAGAAGGTGAAGAAAGAGAAAGACCCTGAACCACGAACATCAGAACAAGAAATCTATGCCGTGTCATTAGAGGAGTATATAAATACTGTATATATACGATGCAACCGGCAAGCTGACACCAAGGACTACACCAGGACTGGACCAGGACTGAACCAGGACTAAACCAGAACTAAATCAGGACTAAACCAGTACCAAACCAGGACTAAATCAGGACTGGAGCAGGAATAAATCAGGACTAAACCAGGACTAAACCAGGACTGGAGTCAGACTAAACTAGGAATAAATCAGGACTAAACTAGGAATAAACCAGGACTAAACCAGGACTAAAACCAGGACTAAACCAGGACTAAACCAGGACTAAACCAGGACTGGAGCAGGACTAAACTAGGAATAAACCAGGACTAAACTAGGAATAAACCAGGACTAAACTAGGAATAAACCGGGACTGGACCAGGACTAAACCAGGACTAAATCAGGACTGGACCAGGACTAACCCAGGTTTAAACCAGGACTAAACCAGGACTGGACCAGGACTAAACCAGGACTGGACCAGAACTAAACCAGGACTACACCAGGACTAAACTAGGACTGAACCAAGACTGAACCAGGACTGGACCAGGACTAAACCAGGACAGAACTCTGAGTAAACCAGGACTAAACCAGGACTAAACCAGGACTGAACTAGGACTAAACCAGGACTGAACCAGGACAGAACTCTGAGTAAACCAGGACTAAACCAGGACTAAACCAGGACTGAACCAGGACAGAACTCTGAGTAAACCAGGACTAAACCAGGACTAAACCAGGACTGAACCAGGACAGAACTCTGAGTAAACCAGGACTAAACCAGGACTGAACTAGGACTAACCAGGACTGAACCAGGACAGAACTCTGAGTAAACCAGGACTAAACCAGGTCTAAACCAGGACTAAACCAGGACTGGACCAGAACTAAACCAGGACTTAACTAGGTCCAAACCAGTGTCATTATTGGAGTATAAATATATACACAGTACTGATGCGTTTTATGTAATAAGTACACTAAAGTCACTGTCGACTGGGAAAACAAGACACTTGTAGACCACAGCGGGCACCCTGGATGTACGTCAAGTATTTTTTCCCTTTGGTCCACGGCGTCCAAAACACACATCGGGGGTGTCTGAACTCATAATGCAAAGGCGTCCAAATAAAGGAGTCCAGGGCTTTTTTTTTTAATGTCCCGCTCTGAAAGCAGCATAAGAGTTTTGCCGTTGGTAAAGCCATTTTTCTAGAGTGTGCTGGTGCAAGACACATTTTGCTCAGATAGACTACAAGGATCTTTTTCTCTTTTTTCTTTTAATTTTTTTCCAGCTTTCTACCATGTTATAATGTTACAAGTTACAGGTCAGATCTGTGGAGAGGTGACCCTGCTCACTGTGAGGGTATTTTTTTCAAGGTACCGTTGAACAATAAAAACATCTGTAATACTTTTAATGCCATACTGTGGAACATTCTAGACAAACCCACATGATTTCTTATGTGTAGAGTTGTGTTTTCTTTCATTCACACGTTTAACACACAAATCCTGCATATTTAGACTGAGTTCTTCTCTCAAACAGAAAACACTGTGTTCCACCTTGTGATGTCATGTGGTGATACAGGAAGCGCTCTACTGTGTTTTTAAACTCCATGTGCCTTCACTAGAATCATCTGGATGATTTCAGCATTTCAGCAGAATCGCCAATCAACATTATAACATAGATCTGAAAAAAGCATAATATGGGCCCTTTAAAATACAGTTCCTTTAAAGGTGCATTGTGTAACTTTTCTCATGGAGACCAAACCAGACCAAGTTACAGGTCAGATCTGTGGAGAGGCAACCCTGCCTACAGTCAAAATGTTGTTTTATTGGTATTTCTGAGCTATAAAACCACCTGTAATTGAATAAATGTAAAGTAGAGCTGTTTAATGACATACTGTGGAACATTCCAGCACAGCGGTTACATATCCATAGAAACAAGCAGGTGACGTATGGACCCCCAACCAAAAAGTGACGTAGTGCGCCTGATTTCCGCATTTCAGCTGAATTTCCAATCTACTGAACTAAAGATAAAAAGGTAAAAGTTCAACTGAAAACTGCAAATTTATGACATCACAAGGTGGAATAGAGCATTTTGAGCTTTGGAGGTGAAACAAAACAAAACTCCAGGTAAGTTTTTGATGAGGTAACGGCATTGTAACATGACTAAAAGCTCACAAGAATCAATTTTGCGTACACATATTTATCTTGCATTTATTTATTATATTTATTTGCATTCAGAATACTTTAAAAACAGGCATTTTTCCACAGATCTGACTTGTAACTTGGCCTAATCGCTTTACCTGCATGTTTCGCATCGTGGAAAATTCTCTATGGAAGCAAGCAGGCCTCTACTGTATTTAAATGGGGACACGTGTCTGGTTGAAGGTTCTATTCCCTGGGCAGAGTCTTTATTTCACAGATGGGCTAATAAATAACCCCATCTGCATTTAATTATAGGCTAAAACACTATTATCGTCTACGAACCGAGCATTTCCGGTGCCTATGTGACTCTGGAAATGCTCTTCTTCTTCTGCAGAATACACGGTCTTTACCTCGTCGCATTTTGTGTTTTTTTTCTTCTTCGTTTGCCACCCCAGCTCCTTGTCCTTAAATGGCACCCTTTGCTTGGTTTTCTTGCTTCTGAGTTATTTATGCCCCAGACGGGAGGATCAGACGTACACAGTGTAGAGGGAGGCGGATGAAAGCGCTTACGAGGACGACAAAGGTGGAGAGGGAAAGTGGGAGAACGCACACATTAAGATTGACAGACACACCGTTGGCATAGCGATAAAGCACACTAGGCTAGGCAGAAACAGTGCAGCTGAATAGATTTTAAAGACAGCGAGTAAGTGTTATCTAAGTAACACACCTTTTAGTTGCAAAAATAAAAAAATACTTTGTAGTTAATCATTGGTATCTAAAAGTGTACCATGTAACTTTTCGGATGTCTCCATGGATATGTTGTTATTATTTATCTTGAATTGTCAGAGCTTTCATTACGAATAAAAATTATTTAATTCTGAATAACATTAATTCCGTTTTAAAAAAAACATGTAAACACTTAATTCCTAATGAAAATTATTATTCGGAATTAAACTAAATTCCGAAGTAAGCGGGTGGTTTATTCCGATTTTAAAGCCGATTTAATTTGTTCCTTGATCATTTAAATGTTTATTCTTCTTAAAAATAATTCCAGTCATTCAGCGCATGTTCATTGGGTCGCCTTTCTGACACGATCCGGACGATCTGGCTCCACCAGTCCTCAGCTTCGGGCTTTCATTCCCTGCTCTTTGGATTTGTGAGCGGGATGCATGAGTGGGCTGAGGTAGAGCAGCCGTTGACTCAGTTTGTTTTCTTCCTCTCTTCTCCAACACTCTTCCCTTCTCCTCGTCAGCTGACAGATGTAAAGTGTGATGAGAGAATTCTCCAGCTGCTGCGCAATTATCATCAGAATGACTGTGAAAAAAGTTTGGATCATGTTTATGTCCGTGGCGTAACGACAAACTGAGATGACAGAAAAGCCGGTAGCAGCTGCAGTGTGTGTTTTTTTCCTGTCTCTGTCCAATCAGAACCCAGACATTGAGCCGAATTAAATAAAGCCAATTCAATGTGTTTTCTGATTTAATTCAGAACAAGTAATATGGAATTAAAAAACATCATGTAAACGTGGCCAGTGTCTCACAGTTTGGATTGAAAACACATTTATCTTTCATTTATCTGGAATACCTTAAAAACAGGCCTTTTCACTTGGTCTAGCTGTGTTACCTGCTTGTTTTAGTGATGTCGGAATAGTTAAATGTGGAACATTCTAAATGTGTACACGACGTGAACAGATCTGACCAGAGTTTCACATCTTGGGCAGTGTATCACCTTCTAAACAAAAGGCACACACACACACGCACACGCACACACACACACACACACACACACGCACACACAAACACATATATGAACGAAATCACGACTAAATCACAAACAAAACATTTACTGTTACTGCCTTTTGCCTTTGCACGTCTCCTTATTTTTGGCTCCTGATACAAAGGCAGAGTACAAGAACTGACAAATAAGGGTCAAAGGTCAATTTTGAACTCAATATTTTTCATGATATTTATTCACATGATAAAGCAGGTCTCAAATACAAACAAAATAACATGAACAAATTTTTTACCAAACATGATCTCAAATACTTGTCAAAAAAATCCCATATAGACACTTCTCCAAAATCATTCTGCCGTAATCGACACATACTCCAAATACTGCAGTGTTTATGTCCTCATAGCAGTAGTAGTAGTAGCAGCAGCAGTAATCATTGCAGTAGTAGTAACCGCTGAGTATTGTCCCATTTTTCATTGCGCCGGTGATGCGAGCTTGCTGACAGTATACTCTCTCTCCCCTCCCCCCTGTGTCTTCTCTCCAGGCTGCTGAGGGAGCAGTGGATCCGCGCCAAGTACGAGAGAAATGAGTTTGAAATCATCGAGAAGCAGGAGCCGTACTCTGCAGGTGAGCACAGGCCCGGTCTCGGTAGAACTGGTTAAGATCCGCCCCTTTAAGACTGCACAAGGCCCAGACGGAGGACGCTATTGTAATTACATCATGGCAGTTATCATGCAGTTAGAGTTGGATTACAGCCACTGATGGTGCTTCAGGAAGGATTTTGTTTTGTATTTATGTTTAGAATCGTCCAATTTGTCTAGAATTCGTAGGAGGAAATGTACAGTGACAGGAAAAATAACTGAAAATGGATTTAGTTACAGAATACTGAATACCTGCAATAAAATGTATTTTGTAATGTAATACTTAGAATATTTAGAATACTTTGACATCGAGTTGCATTTAAATTCTGGTGTCAAAACGTCACATAGAATTAAAAACAGCTTTATTTTTAAGTATTTCCTGTCACTAAAAAGGAAAACTTTTACATTTTCTATTTTCCTCACTAATTCTGTGCAGTTTGAAGTCTTTGATTTTAGAAAAGTAACTGTATTCTGATACCACCAAATGAAAAAGTAAATGTACCATAATACAGGTGCCTGAAAATTTGTATTCAGAACATGTAGTCTTGGTCCAAATCCAAATCCACTTTATTTCTACAGCACATTTTACAAACAGAGCAGTCTCCAAAGTGCTGCACAGAGATCATAAAAAAAGACAATAAAAGGTAAATTGCTAAAATTTGGTCATCCCCGTCCTAAAACAATAAAACCAGCAAAATCAAATAAAAGCAAAACCATAAAAAAAATCGTAAAATAGCTGTAAATAAGTAAAGTTAAAAAAAAAGACACAACTCACGCGGTGTTAAAAGCCACAGAATAAAAGTGGGTCTTAAGAGGAGACTTAAAACACTTCACTGTGGGGGCTGTTGGGATGTGGGGGGGCATAGCGTTCCAGAGCTTAGGCCCTTTCTTAGTTTCTTGGTGAATGTATTCAGTTATTTCCCAACACTGGAAATGTATTTTGTGTTTTGAGTCAGTTGGCGATGGCATTGATCTAATATTGAAGGGATATGCATGTTGGCGCAGTCCATGAAAAAGAGTGTTATATTAAAAAGATTGATTGATTTAGGAATGTGCTGATATAATACTGGTATTGAACGTCGCGGCTGATATTGAACATTTTGTTGGATTGGGTATCGTTACAAAGATATCAGTTCGGTCGATATCTAACTTTGGGCTATAAATTGGTGTTATCAGACAATTCCCTGATCAATGGCACAAAACAATAGCCTGATTCATCAGCCAGTTTCACTTCGTACTGACCATCTGACCTCGCAGTGTTATGATTCGTTCGCTCGACTTTAGTTGGGTACTTTTTTTCATTTAACCAATCACTGCTATTTGGTTGTGACGTATGTAATGCGCCGCTAATGGGGCTAACTGGTATATTAAGCTTTTCCCAAATCCCATAGGAAGAAGGGCAATAACGTCTTTCCCCTTGATGAAATTCACCAAACATTCTACTTGTTCTGGCCTTAAATCCTCGATCTCGGGAATCGTTGCCAACTCAGAATATATGGCTCTTTGCTGATTGGCTGGTGCCAGGACTCGCACTTCTGGGGTTTTTGCAAACCGTCTAGTGTATTCTGATTCCTGATCTAGTCGCTGGAGAGAAATGAAATTGAGCGGAGGCACTAGGTGGCGCTAGCCTGACTAATAAATTGGTGTAATAGGACAATTTTCTGGCCAAGGGCACAAAACACCATCAAAATAGTTTTCAGTGCTGTTCTGTAGTTACATTAAATGATAAATAATAGATATAAAACACATTTTGGATGCTTTTTACCATACACTATTTGTGTTTAAAGGAAATAAATGATGTTTTCAGTCTCTGAACTAGTATCATTTGATACAGTTTACCAGCAGATAATTTTGAGTCAGATTGTTTTGTTGATGTATCAAGTTTTTAAGAAATGATTGGTTGGTGATGTACAGTTATTGGAAATGTAATACAGATATATCGTATAAGCAGCTCTTAGCATCAAAATAAGAATAAGCGTCTGCGTGCATCGAATTTTATCATCGACAAACCAGCAAATGGACTGTTAGCATGCTAGTGGTTGTTAGTATCAGAGATGAGACCAAGTCGTTGTTTTGCAAGTCTCAAGTAAGTCTCAAGTTTTTAACCTCAAGTCCAAGTCAAGTCCCAAGTCAAATACAGGCAAGTCCAAGTTGAGTCTCGAGTCACTGGCCAATAAGTCCAAGTCAAGTCCAAGTCGTCTGCTTTGAGCTTCAAGTCATTTCAAGTCTACCAAATATAACTTAGATTTTTGCCATTTATATGAATTTTAAACAAAATTTTACATTAAAAAGTCATGGTATATTTATATATGAGTTGTAGAAATGCAATTTTTTTTTAAAATATCTTGATAAGATCTTAGTGTAACTCATTATGGTCAGAATAGAAAGAATTCAGATGTAAGAGTGCTTATTATCAGTTATTTTGTCATGTCGTCTGCACTGAAATGGAAGGATCATGTTCTCTGTAGTTCCCTCTGTTTTACTGTATTGTACTGTATATTACTGTAGTACATTTGAGGATACCACATCGCAGTACTTCAGTTTCATCCAAAGTAACAAACAGAGAAGTGGGAGGGACATGTTCCAGTTTGTTTCTGTAAAATGAAGCACAACATGTACCAACTGTAAAGAGAAAAGTGTTTTCTAAAAGCATAGTTTTTTAGGAGAGGCATCGAGTCACACGGTTCAGTTCCGAGTCAAGTCCCAAGTCACTGACCTTCAAGTCCAAGTCGATTCCCAAGTCTTAGTCCATTTTATCAAGTCAAGTCTCAAGTCCTAAAAATAGTGCCTCAAGTCTGACTCGAGTCCAAGTCCTCACCACTGGTTAGCATTACTGTGATGACTCCTGTTCTGGTCTCTCCTGAAGTTGTGAAAAGCGCTTATGACAGTGAACAATTAGGACTCTTGGAGGTGCCTGGTTCAATTCTTAGAAGGTAAACATGCAAAAAAAAAAAAAAGGCTAGCATGCATTTTATACTGTATCACTGTACCATCTACATGACCACAGCTCCAAGAAGTGTTTGGATCAAGGTTCTATTCCCTGGGCAGAGTTTACAGATCACTTACTTTGCAGATGGACTAACAGAGTCGATTACTCTGTCTGGATAAAGCACTTTTATCATCTGCAAATCAGTAAGTAAGACCGGTGGGCTGTTAGGATGCTAGTTGTTGTTTGCATTACTGTGGTGGCAAAACTCTAGCCTGATTCATCAGCTGGTTTCACTTTGTGGAAACCGTCTGACCTTGCAGCATTAAGATTCGTTTGCTCGACGGTAGGCGGTACTTATCCAGTCGCTGCTATTTGGTCGTGACGTATGTAATGCACCAAATCCCATAGGAAGAAGGGCAATAACTTCTTTTCTCTTGATAAAATTCACCAAACATTCTCTTTGTTCCGGCTTTAAATCCTCGATCTCGGGAATCGTTGCCAACACAGAATGTCTGTCTTCGTCTACATCCATCTCGACCGCTCCACAAAAGGGACCCAGACAGGTGCGACGAGTTTGACGTCATGGCTTCACAGCTCTTCACTGATTCCCCAGTGCACGTTCTACAAATTCTGGAGTTCTTGCAAACCATCTAGTGTATTCCGATTCCTGACTTAGTCACTGGAGATAAATGAAATTGAGCGGAGGAACCAGGTGGCGGCAGCCTGGCTAGAAAACCTCTCTCTGAAAGTTGTGAAAAACGCTTTCAATTGATTTGGATGTTAAGAATGTGATACTTTATTACGCAAAATGTTTTCTTGTGAGTGTTAAGCCATGTTACCTCATCAAAAAAACATATCTGGAGTTGTGTTTTGTTTCATTCACACATGTTTGAGTAACTCTTTTATTAGTAGTATATCTGTATCTCTAAAGCTCAGAATGCTCTGTTCCACCGTATGATGTCATGAAGCTGTAGTTTTCAAGATAATAGATACACTTTTCTTCAGCTGAGATTGGCAATTCCAGGGCTGAAATCATCCAAATGAGTCTAGTAAAGGTGTATGTAGTTTAAATACACAGTGAAGCACTTCTTGTATTACTTCATAACATCACATCTCAAGGCGGAGCAGAGTATTTTTTGTTAGGAAGAAGAACTTAGTCTAAATATATAGTGTTTTTGTGTGTTAAACATTTGTGGATGAAACAAAACACAACTCCAGGTCTGTCTGTGATGAAACAACATAATAATATAGACCAGAAAATAGCATAATTATATTTTTAAGAAAGTGAGGAATAACTTTGGACCACCACAAACAGTTTAAAATGCACAAGTCCTGTTTTTCATGTGCCGTTAATACATGATTTGACTACATCTCTTGCTGCAATGGAAGTCGTCAACATTCAGGCATTAACTGTTCCGCTGAAGCCAATGAAACTGAACTGGCGTTGCCTCCATGCCGCTGTGAACACTACGTACACTATTACCTCCACGCTACGAGCACAATGTTCAGTGGAGCATAGCCAAATCACTTTTTGTAAACAACAAAAGCAAAAGAAACTATCATTTACCCATCAGTACACAAAACCTTGAAGACTCCTTGTGCATATTTTGATGACTGCAACTGGGAAAAAGTAGCTCGGGAGTTTCCAGTAGCTCTCCACCCCATTCCAAGTTGCTCACCAAGGCATTTCTGAATTATACGTATTGTGCTGAATAAGTAAAATTTGATTAATTACCATTGTAATTTTACAGTGCCCAGTTTTGTGCACTAATAAATGAGTAATGGTTTATATTTTAAAGGCATCTCACTGTTCCCAATCTAAGGCTGTGGATCTTATATTTACTCAATTTCTTGCAACTGTTAAAATAAGTAGCTCTTCTGCATTTTTGTTTTGTTAATGTATAGCTCACCAGAGGAAAAAGGTTGGAGACCCTTAATTTAGGTTTATAGATTCTATGGAAAAACTAATATACCGTAACTTGCACTTTTTAAAAACTTAATTGATGTGTGATATTTTACATGTAATTTAGCATAGACCTTTTTCACAACGGCCAGAA